TTACTCATTTTTGTATTTTTTGATCTTGTAATAAACTTTTTGAAAAAGAATCTACATTCCTGATTCTTAAAGAGGTCCTCTTTGAAGGGGCCAGTGGGAGCCCTGACCATATTGCACAGAGGTAAACACATTAATTATAGGTTCCTGAATTATCAGGATTTACTTTACGGTTTGTGACAGAATAATTTAAAGAAACCTTAAGATAAGAGGAGCTTGCCTCTTCCCTCATCCGCGAGTAACGAGATGTCTTAAGGATGATAAAACCGAAACATTAGAGGTTAATTTTGGCTCTGATCGCAGGTTGAAAAAGTCTCTATCATCGCTGGAAGGTTGGATTAATTAGATAAATTGATAAATCTATGTTCGTCTGATCAACTAACAAGAATCATTTTATAGTTACCAACCATCCACATAAGCTGATAGAGGCGCAATTAATCCAAATAACCCAAACAATTGCCGGAAGGGATGGCCTCCCGCCGGGCTTCGTCCCTAGTATCTAAACCAAAGATAACGGGATTGATTAAAAAGAAGTGGGCTACTACAAAGGGACAAGTCTTGCATATCATTTCACCTTTAAAATAGAAGATATGATTTTAACTTAGGAAGTCCATAACGAGGGTCTAGTACAATAAAACTCACCAATATCCCCACCGAACCCTGACAGATGCACAGTCTCATAAGTTCTAACGGAACTGGGTTTTAACGGAACCGACAAATGGGACGTGCACGCGACATGTCCACGTGAGGTAAACAGATAGAAACTGATTAGGGATATGCGAGGATAAAGGTAGCATTTTATATTGGCAGCAATATAAGATTGATCTAGGTAGGAATACTGAGTTTTTTTTTTTGTGTGTGTGTGATTTTAATTTACAGGTCAGAGAACTTGCATATCAGCTTGCTGTGAAATATGAGTGCAAACAACCCAAAAATCATGGAATGAATCTTCCAAAGCTGGAGCTGATTAGTTTTCAGCCTGTATGAAAAGGAATACAGCTTTGTCTTTAAGGAGTGCTGAAGCCACAAGTCTCGCACGGGCCACCAACTTTAACAAACACAACGTGGAATTTTTTTTAAATTTATTTGATGATGTGTTAAGGAGGCACAGTTTAACTCCAAATGACATTTGGACCGTTGATGAAACCAGCTTGACTACTGTGCAAACCCCTAGCAGAGTGATTGTAAAACATGGCACTAAGTATGTTGGAGCAATAAAATCAGCAAAAAGGGGGTTACTGGTCTCCGTTGTATGTGCGGTCAACGCTATTGGCAATGCAATTCCGCTGTCGGTACAGGATCTGCTCGGGTGCAAGATCGGCTCGGGGTCCTTCGACTGCCGATGACGTCAAAGTACGGCAAACCCACTCGGACAAAACACACCACACATCTTTATACCGTTGGAAATAATTTAGCAGTTTTGTTATTAAAATAATGTTTCTTACAACGTAAGTTTGTGTTTATAATGGTAAAGGTAAAATAAAACACTATATTGTATTCATAATGTTGAACTCCTCTTTGAGCACATCCCTTGAAGGATCATAGGTATTAGCAACACCTGTGAAATTGTATTTGCAGGAAACAAGTGTGTCCCGTTTATTTGGTGTTTAGAGTTTTTGACGTCTTGTCCGTGCGTAGTTCAGTTACATTCATAGCAGCTAGCCAAAACTCTGGAGTTAAAAGTTTTCTGGCTTTACTAAAGTACCTGTCTGTACTTATTTGATTGATGGTAGTTTTGCTTTCTATTAGACTCCAAATGTAATAATTTGGCACGTTTCTAATTCATAATTTGTAAGAATGTAATCGGTGATATTAGCATTAGCATTCCTATGGGTTTTCCATGTATATTAGCATTGCGCTAACAGCTCGCTGCCAAATTGCAGCCTTTGTGATTAGAAAATCTCCTTTTGTCACATTGCAATTTAATTGCAATGCAGTTAATCGTTCAGCCCTAATATACATGCAGCTCTATGCTAAAAGTGTATTTTCAATGATGGATTTCTTTATAAAAGTTGCCCATCTTTCCAATAGAAACATTTGCCTGGACCAACGTAACGTGATAACAATGTAATGTAATTACGTAACTTCCGTAAGGCTCATGTTCAGCCAATCAATTACTTTGACGTCATCGGCAGTCGAAGGACCCCGAGCCAATCTTGCACCCGAGCAGATCCTGTACCAACACCGCCAATGTTAGGCACTTAAGTGAAGAATAAAATATGCGTTGACTGTCAAGCTATTGTGAGAATCCTTTTTTTATATTGTTACTTCTCACCCCAGGGTACGATACAACTGACCTAGACTATGGGGTGAGTTGTAACATTTTACTCCTTGTGTTTCAGACAAAGCCACATGATTTCTGTTTGTTCCGCAGAAACAACAGCTACACCATTTAATAACTGACATATGTAAATGTTTGTGTCACATTTTGAATTTTCAAACTTAAAGGAGTTCCAAGCTACAGATAGAAATGACAAAATTGTTACAACCATCCCCGGTCTCCCCTATTTTTCTTTTTATTATATTTTGCCAAAACACTCTGTAGAGAACAGTAGCAGGGCGGTTTGAGCTCTCACAGAAAGGATATCTAGGTACCATAAAACACATGTTTAAATTATAACTGTGTCGGTAGGGCTGGGTACCAGTAGATATTTATTGATACTACTACTTTAAAGATGATGATACCTTAACAATACTTTTGTTGAAATTTATATATTTTTATTTAAAATTGGATAACAAACTACTTAAAGGTGTTGTTCTTATTGTTTATATTTTTATTATATTTATTATACTTTATTACATTTTTTCTCAGCACAAACAGCAAAGCTACAGTGCAAACAATAAAGGCACAAAATGTAAATATATGTAAAAGAACAGCCTTCATTAAAAGTTTTCTGCATGTCTCTTTCACCTCTGTCTCCGTGTCTGGTCAGATTTAAAAAGCATCCAAAAAACAATAACAATAAAGTTTTAAGTATCAGGCGTGACATTAAAGCAGAAGCTTTGATGCTCCACCTGAGAGTAAATCTGTAAGACTTGTCACCAGCATTCAGACATCAATTCTGTTTGCTTCACAGGACACGGGAAAAAATAAACTACTAGCAGTAATAACCCTGCTGAACTGCATTTATAATGCTGGTAAACAGCAGGAAAGTTGGTTTTAAGTCCTGTTTCTGCTTTTATCAGCCTCCATCCTCAGACTCCTCCAGTGTGTTGGAAGGTGATGGACTCTGGTTTAGGTTTTGCACTCAAAGACTTTCCATGTTTCAGCTCTCAAGATGATGCCCTGCACGACGAGGTGCTTTGTTAAATTGCTGCTATTCCTGATTTTTGTGCCACAAATCTTCTTGCTGGCATTGCATTTAGCCGCTGCTTACTTTAGCTAAATGCACCCAAACAACAGTTTTTTTTAGCATTTTCATCCACGAACTGCAGAGAAAAGTTGTTGAAAAAAGACGTGTCTCCTCCACTTATGACGTAACTCGAGGTGTGACCCGCGGTGGTACATTGGGACATCTTACTTTTTTTCTGTTGGTACCTACCGAACAGAGGTGTGGACTCGAGTCAGACTCAGGTCATTATTTTAATGACATAAGGTGACTTGATAAAATCTAAAAAGACTTACGACTTGACTCGGACTTGAACACCAATGACTTGCGACTTGAATCGACTTGCATCAGTTGACTTGATGATGACTTGGGCATATTTGATATTTTAGCACAAAAGTGGCACGACATGGACTAAAATCATGAATAATTCTTTGTTTTGGGTTCGATTTACTGCTGAATGCAGCAGCACGTTGTTTATGATCAGTCTCAGTTGCACTTCCTGCTTGTTTGAGCAAATAAATGAAGCTTTAAGAAACATTTTTTCTGGAATTTATTTATCATCATTGTCATTAAATAGAAGTAGGACAGATCAAATCAAACTTCATTTATAAAGCACTTAATCCTACAATACATGTAACTCAAAGTGCTTAACAAATTAAAAAGGCCCCGCCCACATTCCCTCCCAACCCCAGAATTTTAAAAAGTCTGAGAATAAAAACCCTTCACAACACTCATCCTCCGACACACACACACACACACACACACACACACACGTTTACTGTTCTGTATCACTGCTGTAGCGCGGGAGCTGAATACGTGACGTGTTCAGAGTATTTAGACCCGAGGCAGCGCTGCGTTCTCAATCATTGGTTCCACCCCTCTTTATTTATGTTACGTTATTTAATAAAAATTATTGTGGTTCACAAATTAAACTTTAGAGGAAAACTGTACGGAGAATTTACATACAGCACACATTTTAAGACCCAGTGGGAACCCCGAGAAAGAACCCAGGAACTTGTTGATGCAAGACAACAGCGCTAACCACTACGCAGCCCAAGAAGAACCTCCACCTGATTCTAAACGGAGCGCCGATGTCAGATTTCAGATTTATTGGCCAAGTAAAATTACATTTACAAGGAATTTGGCTTCGGTAGATGTTCGCTCTCTAAAACATACAACAACCACAATAAATGAGAATAAAAATACGTAAAAACACATAAGAACATGTGTACCCACACACATGTTCATTTACACACACACATATATACATACACACACACACACGCACGCACGCACACACACACACACACACACACACACAGACACATATCCATAAGCATACTGAATAAGTATTAAAAACTATAATAAAAGGATGGTAAAATAATCTACAGATTCAGGAGAGAAATGGCTGAAGGAACGAAACTGTTCTTGTGTCTGGTAGTTTTTGTGTATAGCGATCTATAGCGTCTGCCAGATGGGAGGAGATGGAAGAGAGTAGATGCAGGATGTGTGGCATCTTGGACAATATTCACTGCCTTTTTCCTGGTCCTGCTGATGTACAGTTCCTAGACAGAGGGCAGTTGGGCACCAATGATTTTTCCTGCTGTTTTAATGGCAGCAGGAAGCTACTGCAGGTGAATCATTGATGAGTTTCCAGTCAGAGAAAGGTGCAGCAGCTGAACTTTGACCCTTGAGCCACACTGTAAGACTGGTTTCAGAGCAACGGCAGCCTTCAGACAGAGACGACTGATAACGGAGAGGAAGAGCAGGATCTTGTCTTCTTCTCCACAGACCTGCTTCAGACAGCATAGTGAAGACGCTGGTGGAAGAAGGTGAGTAAGCCCTACTTTGGTTCTTCCCAGTCTCCAAGTAGAGAGATGGAGTCTCCTGATGAGACCTGAGTCAGACCACATGAGCCTGTAGAGCAACGATCTGTGAGTGAGTGTTGGTGAGGAGCTGCAGCTTGTTCCGGCATCAGCTGAATCCCACTCTACACTTCACATCACACCTGCTGCTGGTTTCTCCTCCTCCTTTCGACTCTGACTGTTCAGAAACTGTTAACTCCTGTTTTTTCACAAACAGGAGCGTTCGTTTTACTCATGTTTAATGTGGTCGTGCATCTTCTTTAACTTTACACCAAAAGAACACCATAGAAATAATGAAAAGCATAAATCATGTACAAATAATTAACTATTGCTTTAAGTTTGCTTAAAATGTAAAACTTATTAAATAAAGAATAACCATACCACTTTGGTCTGCTAGTAGACAAACCAGTAGACTAAATAACCAGTTCAATTATTTATATGAGAGCAAATAAAAAATAAACACTGGATAAATAAAGACTCCATGCTGTAGATCTTTTTTAAAACACAGAACAGTTTTGTTACCTGTTTTCCCGCTACGTTTCGTTTGTGGCTGCAAACTTCCTCAGGCTGACGCAAAATGCACTGATAAATGATAAAGCATTAAAGTCTTGAAAAATAATTAAATGATAAATGTGTTTGACATAGCTCCCTCTAAAGTCCTGGAACCCCCCAAGGCACTTTACCTATTCACACACCTACACGTATTCATACACACATTCACACCCTGGTGGGGATGAGCTGCCCTGGGGCGCACTGACAAGAAGCAATTAAATGTAAATAAATTACAATACATATAAGTGATACAGGTTAAAATGTATATATTAGAAAATAGATGCTGTATAAGTAAAAGACTAAATAATAAAACACTGATAACAGATCTGAAAGATAAGTAAACTGGCTAAATTTACCACTGGCGGGTGCACGCGGGGTTCGGGGGCCACAAAGAAGGGGCCCACGGGACAAGTCCCAACACTGAACCAGTTTCACGAAACTTAGCAAGCAGTTTGCTAACTGTAGCATGGGAAATGGGTTGTCTTGTAGGGTGTCTTGCATTGAAATCTGCTGCAACACGGTTACTGCGTTCACCAGATATCAACACAATTTTGATCCGCCCCTCATATGTTAACCTCTTCAGCTGTGAACAAAGAGAATCGTGTAAATAACTCATGAAAGAATAAAGTTACATTCAAACCAAGCACACCATTGTTTTTCTGATGAAAATTTTCCAAAAGTTTGATGTGTCACATGACCCTCTTCCTGTTGAAAAAACAAAGTTGGATCCAAGATGGCCGATTTCAATATAGCCACCATGGTCACCACCCCTCTTGAAAAGTTTGCCCCCTCATACATACTAATGTGTCACAAACAGGACGTTAATATCACCATTTTATTGAGGTGTGTCCATATAAATGGCCCATCCTGTAAGAACAGGTCAAAGTTTTCCTTTGTCCCGTTTGCTTTACGTTGTAATTCTTCTCTACATAAATGTGACTTCCTCTGTTATTTTTATAGTGACAGGTAAAGGATGCAAACATCATGTGGTGGATTAATAATCCACATTTTATTCTATTTTCTATTAATTCTGTAAACACATTTTCTATTAAAGTTGCTCTATGTGATGTTATTCCAGCTGGTCTTGCTATCTGGGCAAACAGCTATGCTACACATGCTACCAATAAAGTCATCTGGACC